TAATAATCCTTATTCTACCCTAGAACTATGTTAGTAATAATATGTAAATATATTTCTCTTTGCATCTTTAATTGTTAAGTTCACAGTAATAAGTGTAATTATTTAGTAGAGTTACTTGCTAGAATTATTTTTAATTAAGAAAGAGGAATTGAAATTTATTTTTTGCTGTGAGTATCCAGAAGTTTTCTAAGAAATAGTGATATTTTGGGGACATTTTGAGAGTAGAAGTTTGAAAATTAAGTGTTATATAATTAGTGCAAATACATGTCATATTTTGCTTTTTAATGTAGTTTTCTGAGGAATTTGGAATGAAACAAGAAACAAATATGGTTAAGTTGCTGGAAAAACAGTACCAAGAACGATTAGAAGAAGAAGTAGCTAAGGTAAGTTTATAGTTTATCTGGAAGATTATCTTGGTTTGAGCCTTCAGAAAACATAGATTTTTATTGATGGTATGCCCTTTATTTTTAGTTATAAGTTTTCATTTATAGTCCATCTTTAAGTGGTCAGATAATGGTATCAACTACCATTGCCTTTAAGTGAAATGTGTGGATTTTTATTTGAGAAGAACATTCTTCTCTTGATGTAGAATAGTAATTAGAAACTTTTCAGAATGCCAAAACAAATCTTTATATATTTCTTACCTTATGAAAAGTTTGGCCTTCCTTAAAAGTGGCAGAGAAGTTAGGAAAAGAAAGAGTGGTTGGTCCTGTATATATTACCTTTACCTACTTCCACTCAGAGAATTTACTGTGATGTTAGATAATGACAGATACTAAGGGAAGATAACCACTGAACATTAGCTCCTGGCTCAGTGGATGATGTTACCAATGTGAGTTTTGCTCACCTCTGTATCCTTACTCACTATGCCCAGTGTCATTCTTTTAAATTCTTGAATATCAACCGTATAACTTAGTGTACCATTATGGTTCCATTTCTTTATGAATATCAACCATATAACCTAGTGTACCATTATGGTTCCATTTCTTTAGTCTTTGTATTCCCTTTCATAATGCACACACCTGATTGGGTTTTAGTATTGGAACTGTTGAATTACGAGTTTGTCTGCTTATGTTTTTTATAATATTTTAACTGTTTCAATAACCAATCCCAGTGGAGTATATACATTTTAAAAGGGGAGGATTGATAGATAGGATATAAAGGAAATGCATAAGGATTTAGGGAAAACGTTAAGTTAGATGAAGAGGTCAAGACCTAAGGAATTATGCAGACCATAAGGATTTACTCACTTACATCTGAGCTGAATGTTTAGGTCATGGAGACCAAAGTGAAAAGTGAGACACCATCATTTTTATCTAGCTCTCAAATGTCTAATTCTTAGAGGAATGCAAGTTTTCTCTTGCACGTAGCTCTTAACATAAATTTCTCAAATGGCGTGTTATATCAGGGCATCATAGTATAGTAATTAACATGAGGTTTGGTATTGGGTATAGCATACTTTAAATTCTCTGTCTTACTAGATTTGTGAACTTAGGAGAAAGTTAACTTCTGGATCTCAGTTTCCTATGTGTTAAAAGGGAGAATAATAGAAATAGTAGTAATTCTTCTAAGGAGTCAATGAGCTAATGTATATAAAGCACGTAGCAGATCAGTAGATAACATGGTAAAGACTCATAAATAATATTTTAATAATAGTCTGATTACTATGATAATAGTGATAATTTTAAGATGTTTTGTAAAGCATCACTCATTCAAGCTGATAACAGAGCACCAAAATACAGGTCAGTGAAAACTATTCTAAAGGCAGCCCAGGTACTATGGTCCAACAGACAATATTTGATGGTCCAGCTTGGTCCTATAATAATATAGATTGTTGACATTAGTTACCAGTACTGGTAGGATTAAGCTGTACCTTTCACCTCTCAGATATAATGTTGGAAAAAGATTGAGAACCATTTTCTAAAAGCACAGGTTATAAAGAAAAAGCCCAATT